TGTGGTTACCTTTTAATAAAAGCCTTGCGGATCCACTCCTACGATACCTGTCTTAAATATAACAAAGATCACGTTGAATTAGACGATTTTTCTTTTTATTGCTTTTAAAAGGCATATGATAACGCCAATTCAGATACATTTGGAAATCTGCAACTGTCAAATGATGAATTTGTAGAACTAATATTCAATATTTTATAATAATTTTGAAGAATTGGCTACAAAAAATAACATTTTTGTACCACACTTTTAGAATTAATTAACCCAATACCCTTTAGTCATCCATGCTAACGTTTTCCAAAAGAATAACTTATTTTATTGTATGTTTAATCTCAGTAACTAAAAAATATACTGACAATTAGTTTGACAGAATTGTCATTTATTTAAGCAGTCGGTTGATCAAAATATGAACGGTGATTGGCGAATTTATTTTTTTTGCAGTGTTCTCACTACCTAGAATGGATATGAAATATATTCGTTCAATTGAAGGCAATAGCATACTTTTTCGTTTTGTAATCTGTGCATGGATATTAGCCAATCTACGCACATACTACAAAACGAAAAATTATGTTATTGCGTTCAACTACGAATATATTTCATATCCATTTTAGGTAGTGAGAACACTTTAACAAAATTAAATCTACAAATCACAGTTCATATTTTGGTCACCCAACTCCTATTATTTAAAATTTTTTAAATAAGTGATAATTCTGTTAAACTAATTGTCAATATATATTTTAGTTATTGATATTAAATATACATTAAAATTTATTGTGTAGACTCGATAAATAATAGCATTTTTGTTTTTATTATGTCCACATTTAAAAAAAATAAATTTTAATCAAACTACATGATACTAATTTAATGACGAGTATTAAAACTAAAGTCCTGAAAGTTTCGGTGAAGATGAGGACAGAACATCTGCCTTCCATGCGAAAAGCCCGGGATCGAATCTAGGCCGAGGACTAATTATTAATTTTTCATGTTTATTTTATTTTATAAATTAGTCAACCTTGTAAATTATTTTAAAATTAGTTATTTTGTCTAAATAACCTAAAATAATTTTTTAAATTTGTAGATTTTCGTTAGTGGGCCGTAGAAAAAATATACTGACCATATCGAGTGGATTGTTCATATCACAATCAGACGATTGAGTACTCCGCCTACGACGTCGTGCTCAAACTTCGTCTTTGTGTGATATGGCTATCATATCCACCCTTGTTGAACAAACTACAATTTATTTGTTTTCTTTCTTGGTTTAAGTTTTACATCAGAAATAAGAACTAAATTAATTTACTTTTCAAGTTTTCTTGTAAAAATCGATATTACTTTCTCCAAGTACAAATTTAGTACCTACCTAAAATAAGTACTAATTATGTAATATCGTGTAATATTGTAATTCAAATTTCACATTACTATAAAGTTTCAAAATTCCCTACTTCGGTATGGTCAGATAAAAATTGAATATATTATATTAATGAAAACTGTTAAAGTATTACTTCTACAAATCTGTATTTCAATTAATAAGAATACATCTAAATATAACCAATATTGTTAAAATAAAAGCACAAATTCTTTATAATTCCAAAATACCATAGAGTTTCCAGACCTCAGTCGAAGCATTCGTTTATCTAGGTATAAACCCTTTGCGCGAAGAGTAACACTTGCCAGAGACACGGGGTACCACTTGATTTGCATCCACGAGCGTGACACATTTCTTTAACAATTGAAGCCCTTGGTGTAAAAAGGATCCAAGTCACAATTTGTCGTGAAGTGACTGTTTTAGCTCAAAACATTTGTTAACGAGGATTTTACTAGCCACATACAAATTATTTTACCTCTAATCCGAAAGATGTGCTATTTTTCGTAATATTTATATTTAAATAATTTTTTTAATTATATTTGACAGATTTAAAACAAATTAAATATTTAATTTCCCAAAACTTACTTAACATGGCATGTAACCAACCTTATTACGTCAAGGTTTTCAATTTTTTCAATAATAAAAAAATTGCTTAATCCGGGCCCGACTTTTCCCTTTAATCTAACAGAGATAGCACCATTCCGTCTTGCTTGGTTCTCGACCGCCAGATCAAAGACGCCGACACGGAGTTGTGGAGCTGTATTGTATAAGCTGTGGTTTGGTCTGCGGCAGTTAAAAGTCTTTAAGACTTTACCAAGATTTTACCCAATAGTTAGTTACCATTCATAAGGCCATCATTAACAACATATTGCTGGGCCCAGTGGCGGAGCCACGGGGGGTTTTATAACGTATGGAACTAGTAAGTTCGAAACTTTTATTTTACAAAATAATTTAGGTCGATTATACCAAATTTGAGGAATTAATTTGTTATAAGCAGGGGTCTGATGTGGAGAGTTGATTCTGCATATTATTATTAAATAAATATAAGATATATCAATAAATAATAAAATAGAACATTCTTAAAATATGTTTATTAATAACTTAAATAAATATTATTAGATAAAAATAAATCCAAATAATAATACATATTTAACGAATACTTACTTGCAGCAAATAGATATACAATCTCAAATCTTTAAAATACCTATCAATAATTTAAATGTGAAGTAGAGACTAGGATATTACATTTTATTAACACTAAAATAATATATTTTATAAATGTCTTTTAAACCGAGGACAAATGTAATATAGGTATTGTATTAAAAGGTGAATCCTTTTAACTATTTATTCAATGATAAATAGGTATTTTCCTTCCAAATACAGATGGTGGTATTACTCCATACTGCTTTGTGTATTACTCTCTTATGTGAAAAATGATTTCGGAATCTAGTCCAGTGATAAATTGATTATCAATTAGTTGTTATACCCGTTTGTCTTTTTATGATGCAGATGCATGGTGAATTAATGAAGTTTTTCTCGAAGTTTTCAACGTAGCACCCACAGGTAGCACCAAAATTATTGCAAAACACAGTAGGAAATAGAAAAGCGAAACATCACAATTTTGCAAATAACTAACAATAAGACGAAACTATAAACAGAAACCAAAAGCCAAAGCTAACAAAAAATCACTAAAATCAGACGGAAAAATGAGACTTCCAAAAACATAAATAAATACATGTCACATCTTTGGAGTCTTTGGTTAAGTTTTTCTCCCAGCATAAAAATGGAGTAAGAAATCAGAATTTCACCAGTAGCCCCATCTAGAGTTTGGAGCAAATAGCATAAAAAATGTCAGTTGTAGAACCTCTATGTGCTTTGTGAGCCACCCCATAGTAATTGGAAAAATTTCTTGAAACACGTCGGATGATTTTCTTTTGGGGACATCTTTTGACATATATTTGAGGCTTGAACCAGCAACCCCCTATGAGGGGGAGCTTCAACCCCTCAAAATGGAATAGGGAAGAAGGGTTGAGTGATACATCATTTGTAAGGTCTTGAAAGCCTCTTTACAACGGTGTATGAAAAAATCACATTCTTAAAAAAAATTAATTGTTTTATCACATCAAATGATCGAAGAAACGTGATAAACCTTCTAAGAGCAAAAAATGAAGGCAAGATAAGAAAATGTTTTGATTTTTTTATTTATTAGTTCGAGATAATTTATTATTGCATGGAAGTCAATGGAAGACAAATTGAACATTTCATTTAAAAACGCAGTTTTGATTTTTTTGATTGTAAGCATGATAAAACAATTGATTTTTTTTAAGAATGTGATTTTTTTCATACACCGTTGTAAAGAGGCTTTCAGGACCTTACAAATGAAGTATCACCCAACCCCTCTTCCCTATTCAATTTTGAGGGGTTGAAGTGCCCCCTTATAGGAGGTTGCTCGTTCAAGCCTCAAATATATATACGTCAAATGTCCCCCAAAGAAAATCATCAGACGTGTTTCGGGAAATTTTTCCAATTACTATGGGATAAGAACTATACGGGGAAGCTCGTCTGAGATGGAACACCCTGTATATAGTGAGAATAGGTAATTGCTTGGTAGCTATTACCACCGGTGTGAAGTTAGCAGTAAGTTTTTAGCAGTAAAAATAACCGAAAACACCCGATCGGGAAAATAGTGGCGTCCGACATACAACTATTTTAATAATCTTGTCAATATGTATTTTACATTAATATCGGACAAATAATTAATATACATACCGTTGAAAATGTCTGATTTTGAGATTATATCTAAATTTCTCAAAAATATATTTGATGGAAGATGGCCATAATTCGTGAAATGCAATACTGGTGCCATCTAGCAACAGATAGTCACACTATCGAGTTGCACATATTACTTGTAGAGGCTGAAACTTGATTTTAAATTAACGCACTTTTCTCTCACGCTCATGGAGAAACGATTATTACTCATGTTCAGGCCTCGCAACGAAATCGAGACAGGCGTAACAAAAAAGCTACAAAAAAGTTACAAAAAATGAGCCGGGTCCGGGCTGGTGCCGCTACAAATATCCGCTAAGCTAGCGGATCCGCGCTTTTCTCAGGTTCAGTACAAGCTACAAAAGGGAGACTAGCGTAACAAAAAAGCTACAAAAAAGTTACGAAAAACCAGCTGGGTCTGAATCTGTGCCGCTACTATGGAATTTATGGAAATTCAAGCTAGCGGATCCGCTGTTTTTTCGGACCTGGGCTAAGCTACAAATTTGCAAATAGTGTAACAAAAAAGCTACAAAAAAGCTACAAAAACCCGCCAGGTCTTGAATGGTGCCGCCACAGAGTGCCCGCTAGCTTGATATAGCTGTTAATTTACTCAAACAGATATCTCCACCATTTACATAACAATTGCAAATAACTCAAAAAACATTTTATATAGTACCTACATACCGAAATATTACTCAATAATATTCAAAAAAATATATTTTTAAAAATATGATGATTTTATGTACCCCGTAAATAATAATATAGGCACCCACACCTGAAATTTCTTGATCTGACAAAAGGTGGTGTAAAAATTGTGTAATATTGTAATATACACTGACGAACAACAGCGAACGAACCTCTCTAACCTCAAATACATCTCTTCTTCTTCTTCTTCTCTTTTTTTGGGCCAAATCAAACACCAAACCTCAAATATATTTTTCTAAAATGAAACTGTCTATTACAACTTTTAAAAGGTTGTTTAATTATTTATACTCATTATAACATTTTTAAGCTATTTTTTTTAAGATCTCAAACATATTTGCAATCTTCATGTAGTCATTTGTGGCGTGGTTTAAATTCAATCGGTAATGAAGAGAAAATAGAAATTCCAAAAAGGATACATAGGAGTCCCACTGATATATTGCGATGTTTAGAAACCACTATAAGCAGAGATCCAACTGCTGCTCATTACAAATATCACGATGATCCTTATTTAATTCCAATGTCGAATGTTGGTAGGTTACAAATTGTAACCATGATACATTTTTAAACATATAAGTTGGGATCTTTTTTTCTAGGTAAGCGTACCTTTGCCATGGCCCAAGAAGCGGGTAGGAAGGCTGCTCATTGGGTTCGAAAGGAAAATGCAGAACTTTTCAATCATTTAGAAGCGGACCCAGTGATACCATCTTTTCTACCCAAGTTAGTATATACAGAAGAAAGTAAAGTTACGGAGGACGATTTAATAAAGGTTATAGCAAACTGTCAAGTACAAGATGCCCAGATTGTTTATAAACTATTAAAAAATCAAGGAAATAAAATATCAGCTGATTTACAACAAGCTTTATTGGAATTGGTTTGTTATTATAATTGTTCAGATGGTATTGCTGAGGAATTTATCGAAGAACGCTGGTTTAGACAGAGTTCAAACTTAAAAGAACGACAGAGAAAAACGTGGAAGTGAGTAAATAAATATTTTACAAATTACATTCAAATTGTCTTGAAATTTATCACATTCTACAATCTAAATTGTGTAAAGTTGTAGGAGATGTATGTACTAACGCACACGTTGATATGCATGTATGGTCATGTAAAAATTCAAATATTTGAGAGCATTGTTGCCATGTTGTAATATTTAGAAATACTTCTAATTTCACAACCGAATAAATAATATGTTAATTTTCCATTGATTTTAATAATTGTGTTTGTGGTTTTGTTTGTATTATTTATAGTTAATAAGTTCTTTTTTTATTTAAAATTAATTCTGATGCCTTGGTAGGATTCCCCACTCGACCATTCACTGTTGGGTTCTAATTAACAGTGCTGTTCCTAAAGTGGCGCAAGGAAACAGTAACAAGGCCTGTCTGTAGGGGTGTAGGAGTATTAGAGTACTAATACTCCTGCACTATGGAGTATTAGACTACTAATACAATCCATAACCTACATAGAACACTAGGCTAATGACCTTAGATGTTGAAGCCGTACACCAAATAAAAAAAAAAAAACTTTTTTATTTTAAATTTTGCTCATCATTAGAATGACTGGTCTTCCAGTCACCTCTTGGTGAATCATTATTTCAGATGGTTAAAGAGCAAAAAGCCCACAATAATATTAACTAACGTGTATGAATAATTCATTGTATCTACATGAATAATATTTATTCTTTATTAGGTCAATTGAATCGGTGAGTTTGAAAACCATACATGTCCAAAATCAGCCTTCCGAGAAAAACAAAAACTTTTTAATGAGTCATATGCGGTTTTTTGTCTAATTTCACAGGTTTAATCAGCTGTACTACGTTATTTTATACAAAATGGCTATCATACCTTAAAATATCAAATTTTGGACTTGTACATGTTTTCGAACTCACCGATTCAATTATTATTGGTTTTCACTTATATTAATAATTTTTTCGATTCATCCTGTATTTATATAGCTATACAGTATTAGAAAGTCCCTCCAAGCTGTGGGAAGGAGAATTATGGTGTGGAATAAAATACTTTCAGTAACCAGTAAACATTTTTCTTTAAATTTTTTTAATAATTATATTTATTCATTAATATTACATAAACAGCCAGCATACATGTTAGTACATACCTTTCCTACAACTTTACCCTAAATTATATTTTTTTGCTGTTATATTATAAAATCGATCTATCTGCCACTTCTTCATTATTCGGTAGATGAATAAAGCAAGGAGTAAAGATAATCTTGTAGTTTAAGGTTTATTCCAACATAAAGCAAATCAGTTTACATACTGTCAGGCACAATGTATCCCATGTAGTAATGCATCTCACTTGTTAAAGAGATGACAGTAAGTTTGCAGCGCTAAAAGCGTCTGGCCGCTCAACTAGCTCGATATGGCGGTAAATTCAAATATAATTTTAAGGCAAAATTTAAATTTCCAGCCGCGTAATGGCGGGAATTTTGAAATATATTCATTCGGCAATAATAATTGAGAAGTATACTGCATGTTCCATTAAACGAGCTGTAAATCCAGACACTATTTTTATTCTGATTGCTAAAAATAATACGATTTTTTTTATTTTTAGCTATTACAATAAGAGCAGCGTTTGGATTGACAACACATTTAAATGAACATGTAATATACTTTTCTATTTTACCTGAATCACTTCTATTTTTACCTACAGGCTATATCTGAAAAAAAAAATGGTAGGTATAAAATATTTTATTTAAAAAATTATAAAACTTATTTAATATATTTTAAAGTCGATGATGATAACTCTAGCCATATCCATTTTACTGAAAAAAAAAAAAAAAAGAAACACTATATTAATTAAATCATTCGTTAGTTATAATAGATATTTGTGATATACAGTGTCGGATATCGAATGTTTTTACAATACGTTATGCTAATGTATAAGTGAAAACTACAAAGAGTTAGCATTAGTGCAATCAGGAATGGAATACTATGAGCGTATAGCCATCCGGCTGCGTGGGGATGTATCTCGCCATGTGCCTGTTCATATTACACAGTACACAAGGCAACATTCATATTATTCGTTTCCTGGTCTCACTAATGCTAACTCTTTAATTTTCGATTATTTATTGTTTCGGCCTTTACTTGATCAAAATCCATATTAGCTTAAATAAGTAAAACCAAATTTGATAGATTTTCACAAAATTTTTATTTAAAAAAAAAATTCAAATAATTAAAAACACTACACATGACATGTTTCGAAGTACATTTGAAAAAGAAGTTATACTTCGAAACATGTCATGTGTAGTTTCTAATTTTTTTTTTTTTTTTAAATAAAAGTTTTGTGAAAATCTACTAAATTTGGTTTCACTTATTTAAGCCTTAGTTTTTGCTTCAATGCAAAGTGTTCAATAGCCGATACTGTATATAAATACTAAAATCAACAAGTGAAATAAAATTTTTTAGTTTAAATGGACCCATACTTCAAAAAAGGAGAAAAACTTTAACAGAAAATTATTATACTTGAATTTTAAAGGCTGTTGCCACTGTAAAACTATTATCTAGGGCTTGGATGACAGCCATAGGAATCCCTCCTTGAATCGTGTCCATAGGAAAGCATAAGATCTTAGTTAAATTATAATATTAGAGGGTATTAACTAAAAAATTTGAAAAATTATTACAAACTTACGTCAAAAGTGACAATTACATTAAAAGAAGGGAAAACTGAAAACATAAAATTGTTATACATGAATTTTAAAGGCTCTTCCCACTGGAAAAGTATTAACTAGGGTGGGGACCCTTGTATGACAGCCATAGCAATCCCTCCTTGAATCCTCTTTTTCTGAGGTTGTTGTACGTTTTGCTTCCCATATTAAATAAGTAAGCACTTAATACAACACAATAAATATCGCTGAAACAAAATTAATAGTAATAAACAGTATAAATTTCGTAGAAGAAAAAATCAAAAAATTATCTCTTGTCAATACTGACACTTCACGCTTCGCTTGTCTAAAACTTCGTCTTCAACCAATGAACGTGCCGATCTCAGACGTGTCAAAATTCAAAACGATACTAGCGCCATATGGCTCTGTGTCTGGCCGCAGCGTAGGTTAGGTTAGGTTGAAAATGAGTGGGATGATCTCATCGCCCTCCACTGCGACCCAGATGGGTCTATTGTGGCTCATAACTAACTTATAGTTCACCGTACAAGCCACACCTTTTGATGAAGGTCATGGTTGAATTGGGTGAGACTTCTCTAAAGTCGGTAGGCTCCAGTCGGGTAAATCCGAAGATCTGGAACCTGGTTCTTTCCAGAGCGGAGCAGGTACATAGAATGTGCTCTGCAGACTTGTCCTCCACGCTGCAGAATCGACAGTCCGATGTTTGTTGCAGACCTATCCTTCTCATGTGGTTGCCCAGACGGCAGTGTCCTGTCATCAGTCCAGTGAAAATGCGTAGATCTCTCCTACTCCATTCTCGGATCTGAGCAGAGGCGTTCATGAAAGGGTTGTTTATAAACGCCTTCGAATGGGTTAGCCCTGGGGTATCTCTCCAGTTCGTGAGTGTTGCACCCTCCATCCATTTTGAGATAATTCCTTTGGCAGTTCTTTTTGCAATGCCCAGGAATGGTTCTGGTCCTATGAACACAGATTTGGTTCCTCTTTTAGCAAGTGCGTCGGCTTTTTCGTTGCGCTCCACACCACTGTGTCCCGGAACCCTGATCAAAGTAACTTTGTTCCGGGCACCTAGACACTCTAGGGTATTTATACAGTTCCAAACCAGCTTGTGAGTCAACTCGATTGGAGCTCAGGGCCGTAAGGGCTGCCTGGCTATCTGAAAAGATCTTTATAGTCTTGTTTGCGGGGAGAAAATTGATCAACTCTCTCGCTCCCAATTCTATAGCAATCATTTCTGCTTGGAAGATCGTGGCCAGGGAGCCTAGGTTTATTGATATGTCAACTCTATGCCTCTGGCCGAAAACTCCCGCTCCTACTCCTTTTTTAGTTTTGGAGCCGTCCGTGTACAGCGCATAGTCTGCCTGGAAGAGGGTTTTTTCCCCTTTGCTCCATGCGTCTCTCTCTGGAATGAGGACGCTGTATGGCTTTTCTATGTGCTGTCGGGGAACTAGCGAGTCCGAGACCATGCCGAGGATGGGGTGATTATTAATTTCACTCACCAGCCCCGTCTTGTCCCACCGCAGTTCTTCGTAACATTGACTACCCACTTTCAGGAGCCTGTAGGAGACCATTCTGGCCTCCCTTTCCAGCACAATGTGGAGAGGGGTTAGGTCCAGCGTGGTCTCCATGGCTCCCATAGGTGTAGTTGACATTGCTCCAGTTATGGCGAGACACGCAAGCCGCTTTTCTCTGGCCGTCCGTTGGAGTCCCTTGTCCCACCAGACGACAGAGCCGTACGTAACCATGGGTTTTTACCACTGTTTGGTAGATCCAATAGATCAGTTGAGGACTGATCCCCCATGCTTTGCCGCATATCCTTCTGAGTGTCCAGAGGAATAATCTGGCTTTGTTAATGGTTTTTTCCAATTGGGGGTTCCAGGTGAGTTTCTTATCTAGGGTGATTCCCAGATATTTCACCTCCTCCACAAAAGGAATGGTTTCCCCAGCCAAGGTAGGTTGTCGAAGCTTGTCGAGTTTCCTTCTCTTGGTGAAGGGGACAATAACAGTTTTGCGGGGGTTAACAGACATCTGCTCCCTTTCGCACCATCTGTTGATTGTATTAAGGGCTTGTTGAAGGATGTTGGTGATCACCTCTTAGAACTTTCCCCTAATTATGATAACCAGATCGTCCGCATAGCATTGGAAATCCACCCCCTGTCGGGAGAGATCGTCTAGCAGGTTATCCACCAGAATAGTCCACAGTAGGGGTGAAAGTACGCCGCCTTGTGGACATCCTCTGGCAGGCCTGAACGTGACAGTCTCTCCTTGCAGTGATAAAGTGATGTTCCGGTTTGCCAGCGTGCTTTTGATCCAGTTACAAGTTAGTTTGTTGATTCCTCTTCTTTCAATAGAAGAGAACAAAGACTGAGGAAGGGCGTTGTTGAACGCGCCTTCTGTATCTAGGAAGGCACCTAGCGCAATCTCCCCGTGATTTAGGGAATGGCCGATTTTGCCTACTAGATTGTGCAGGGCATCATCTGTCGATTTGCCTGCTTGGTAGGCATATTGAGAGGAGTTTAACGGGTTTGCCCGAAGACCTCCTTCTCTAATATGCCTATCTAGAATCCTCTCTAGTGTTTTTAGAAGAAAGGATGTTAGGCAGATTGGACGATAAGAGTTTGGTAGGGAGGTATCTACTCTACCAGCCTTGTGTATATACACGACTTTCGCCATCGTCCATCCTAGTGGGATATAGCTCCACGCCAGGCTTGCTCTAAACAACCGCACAAGGAGAGGTAGCAGGAGTTCCTGCCCTTTTTGTAAAAGGGCGGGAAAAATTCCATCCTCTCCGGGCGTAACTCAAAGCCACTTCTTGAATCCCAGTGACATTACTATAGGGGATATATTGTGCAGTCGGGATTCTGTGTAATCTACAACTGTATGAAAACTAGTGTTGCAACACAACTAAAACTAATCACAAACCGATTTGTGTACTTTCAAATCAGTTCCTGGGTTTGAAGAGGAACAAATTTTTAAAACTAAAAATTTCGTGATTTTAAATATATTATTTGTATCTATTGTCTCTGATAGCTCCGATTTGTCAATTGAGTCATTAGATTTTATTTTATTTTGTGTTATTGTACTAGTGCATCTGTTGAATTCATTAAAAATGTATTCCAACCTAACTGAGTGCCGAGTTGAGTATTAGTCCCCTGCAGGTTGTCAATAGATCTCAAGAATAAGTTGTGGACTAGTTTATGTATGGTTCCAAGATCGTTGTTGGAACAACCCTTTAGTGTTCTCATAATGCGCATGTCCACACCATTCTGACATTTGGAATCGTTAGATAGTTGTCAAGGTTAAATAGTGATATTCCAAATCTAGGAAAACAAATTTGAGTCATCAGAGATGCTGTCAAGCAAATATTTCAAGGGTAAGGAAAATGTTTAGAAATTAATAAAAATATCCTTTAATTTTAGATTATTTTGACGTATGTTTTTTTTTTGGGAAACACATTTTTCTTGTCCTTAAAACTAAAAGAAAAAACAGCATGTGTAAAATTCAAATTTTAAACCTCAGTGCAGAGTGGAGTGGACATTTGCATTAAGAGTACACTAAACTACAAGATTACCCAAAAGCTTGTAGAACAAACCATAATAAATAAACTAGCGCCCGAGAAGAATACCGACCTGTGGAGTCATTTCTAATATTTTTTTTTATCGAGAAAATACATGAAGGGTCCGCAGTTAAAACCATCCATAATACCAAATTTATCAAGAGAGCAAAAATATAGGTTGGCCTCTAATGTTTACTGTATTGTATGCCCAATCTTGGAAAATATGTCAAAACATCAATGGGCCAAATTTTCTTTTTTTTTTTTCAACATTTTAGACTCTCTAAAACACATTTTTGAATCAATTTTAGAAATGCTTAAAAATAAGGTTTTTTTAATCTTAGATCTTAAAAACATGTGAATTACATAATTTTGATTGATTTCTGTAGTAAAAACTGCTAAATAACATTATTAGACTATCCGCAGAGCAATAAACCATACAACATTTTTTTGTAAACGCTTATAATTTTTTTACATTTGTTTTTGAAAATGTTAAAACTGTTAGTGACATCGGAGTGACATTTTATCTACTATCGTCTGTCGTGTTGCATGATCAATTCAAACATGTCAATCGTAATTTTTTCCTGTGTCCTGCATTGTTCCGAGCCATCAAAAAATACGACTTTCGATATCAGAAAAATTGTATAAAAGCTTCATAAAATAGTGATTTTTTTCTGACGCACTGGTTAGGTACGCCTACGCTGTACAGCCTAGACACACATAGTCTGCAGTCATTGCGGGTTGCTTCACAACCCGTGAACTTTTTTCAAACCTCCTCCAGCTTCGCTCTAAATTCTCGACTACACTGTACGGCCAAATAGTTAAGAATTGTAAACGTTTTCGAAATTTTATTGTATGGATAGTCTAATATTGTTATTTAGCTGTTTGAACAACAAGAAATCAATTGAATTGATTTAATTAAATTGTTTTTAAGGTCAAGACTGGACAACCCCCTTTTTATGATTTTAAAGTAAAAAACAATTTGTTAAGTGTTAGCGGCCCCAAAATAGTTCTGTACAGTGCGTTTGAAAGCTTTCTGTAAAATTTCAATAGTAATATCCGCCGTTCGTGTTCATGGTATATTACCTCTAAACACCAACAGATCACATTGAGAACTTAAAATCGACTAAAAATTGAACTTGATGGTTTTTGTAGTGGATCCTTCACATCTGATCAAAAAATGCATTATAAATATTGACCTACAAATATTTGTCTTTCTGAAAATACAATTTTTACAGAGATAGTAGCTTCGCCGAAGAACTATTTCAGACGATATCGAACCCTACCGCGGAAACGTACTGCACGATAATACAAGGAATGAATAAATATTTTCAAGTGGACAGAGCATGGAAACTTTTCGAGGAAGCCCAAAATAAAGGCTTCGTTCTAACGACAGACACTTACAACTCTGTTATTCGAGTGGCGAATTTCCTGAAAGAAAGTTTCGATATGAGATGGACGTTTATCGTAAATACTCTTGACGATATGAACAAAGCCGGTGTTAAACCGAATTTGGGTACGTTGAATTCGGTATTGCACGTCCTTAGTACGATGGGTACCAGCAGGACTGTTAAGGATTACATTTTGAATATATTGAGCGAATTTAAGAGCTTGGGCATCGAACCTTCATTGGGAACTTGGTATTACGTGCTGGTTACTTATTGCAAAGAAAGTAAGTGTATATAGTTGATTACATAAACCATTACAAAATAAACCAATAGAAACACTGAACTCTTCCTATTTAGAGCGAACAGATAGGTAAATATACCACCCATGTGTTTGATTATTTTAGGGGGAATGGTGAGTACCATCCTACATGACATCATGAACCAACTGGAGAATAAAGAACAGCAAATAAAGGATATCAGCGATACGAATTTCTTCGTAACTGCAATGGATATATGTAGGAATCATTTGAACGACGCCGATCTAGCCAAAAGGGTAGATAAATTGTTACATGTAGGATCGAATTACGATTTAATTGGAGATTCGTATAAAGAGTCCATCTATTAGTAAGTTTCGTTTTTACTTTTTTTTACCCATGATCCTAACTCTTAGAAAGTCTATAAAATGATGAAATAACCTAACCCTAAAATAGAATATCCATTTTTTTTTTTAAATTCTTAAGTTGAAAATCTCAACAGTTGATGACACAATTAGTAAATTTGGCTAAAAAGAGATTAGCACTGTGATGCCGGCTGAAGATGAACTTAGTTTTTTTGTAACTGCAGTTAAAAATTCGCTATTTTTTTTTTAAATGCCTCGAAGCTCATCCGACCCCGGCATGGTGACGTCTGAAAACTTTATTAAGTATGCTACCTAATGGAACGAACCAGTTTTTGAATTTCACAGTGATTTTTCATAATGTAGGAGTTATTTCTGCCACACTTAAAGCCCGTCCAGATGAGCCACTGGGTGGTGACACTTAGTAACGACACTTCGTGGCGGGTAAACGCCTGCGATTCAATTCAATGTTAAAATGTAGAAGCTGTCCAAATGAGCATCTGTGACAAGCGGCTGTGGCGAAGAGAAGCGGGTCCCCGCGACGAAGGGGCGACACTCAGTCACTGGAACCGTTCACACAGGCCAGTTTTGTCGTCGACTTTGTCGTCCACTTCTACTAACATTGGTAGTTGCCGGAGAGGCTAGCTGCAAGCTTAGTGTGCATTCACATAATCACAACAGTTAAGCAGTGATTTCTCCGGTCACGTCGTGGATGGGTGACCGCTGGGAGGTTCCACCATGGGCCGTGTCACTATGGGACTCATCCGACTAGCGGTTAACCACCGACGAAGTGGAAGGAATGACTATGAATCAGGGAGTGAATTGTTGAATGAATGAGAAAGTATTAGAACCTTCAAATGGTGGTACAATAAGCCGCAAGCTGCAGTGTCGCAAGGCTATAGACGGATTAGGGTGTAGCACAGGAGATCCGAAGGGTGTAATAAAAAAAAAACATTGGTAGTGATATTTTATTTTGATTGTCGGGGTTCAGTATTGAGTAACATGGCGTTCTATGCAAATCGATTTATAGTCGAAATAGAAAAACGTCCTGCGGTTTGGAACAGCAGTTCTAAAGAATATAGCAATAGAGTATTAAGGAGTAAGGCTTGTGAGGAAATCTATGAAATTTTCATAGAAAATTTTGATGTAATGGATTCTGATGCAAAGAACAAGTCATTTAAGTATCGCTACAAGCAATACTTCCTCGTCTGAGTCCATAATGATACTGGCAAATTTTAATTACATTCCAACATGAGCCTACCATGGAATCGCACTACTCATTAGCTAGCACGTCCACACGAACGACCAGTGGCGACACCTAGTGACCCGTACACGCAACTTAGCAGCGCGATTTATAGGCGCCACAGGGTGGCTGGTTTGGACAGGCCCTTAGTGATGTATGACAAGCAATGTATGTCCGACTATGATTTCCCTTCTATTTATAACCTCATTTAGCGATTATTGAGGTGCACGATTTTGAATTCTATTGCTCATGTTGGTCTTTTTCAACTGCTCCCTTAACGGATCCTTACTCAATTTTTCTTTAGCCGTCATTACTTCATTTTGATGTCAACCAGCATTCCATTGGAGGAATTCATGTCGAACATCTACGACGTCTTGGTGCCGAACATCTACGTGCCGGAACCGGGAGTGATGAGCGAGATTCTTAAACAGATCGAAGTGAACGCCGCCGTCGATTACATACCGAAATTGTGGACGGACATGACGACGTTCGATCACACCGATCGAGAATCTTTGGTCGAAGCCGTATTGAACATCATGGTCGACGACGTCTCGCCCAAAAAGGATACCACGTTGACTGAAAGTTTCGCCGCCATCGCTTGGGATATTTACGTCAAAGTGGAAAATCAGAATATCAAGAAAATTAATAAAATCAAGTAAGTGGATGTTTTTGTATTCTTGATCACTATTTACCTAATTTTGACAGTATTTCGCTGTTATATCAATTTAGGAAAATTGTATTTTCTGTCATGCTATTTTATCGCCATTCTATCGGCATTTTTGGTAGTTTTTTCTAGTGATTTTGTGATTTTCTTGTCTGTTAGGCTGTCCAAATGGCTACCAGTGGGGACTGACAGTTTAGATATGGCAACCCTGTTGGCGTGTTGTCATTAACAGGGTCAATGATACAAATATAGTTATATAGATTGCTCAAAGCTAGTCGTTTGCGAGCGACTATATTGCCTGGCAAATATTTATTATTTTGAATCGGTTTAGCAAAAATGTGTTATAAAACCAATTTTCAGCCTTTGGATATTTAAAAAAAAAATAATGACTTACATTTTTACTTCAAGGCATAAGCTTATGTTTATTTTGAAAAATATGGATGATCAATCTATGTAACTATCTATTTCATTGACCTTGTCAAATCACCAGGCCTACAGGGTTGCCATAATTTTTCCATATCATAACCTGTCAAAACCCACTGGTAGCAATTCAGTTTTAAATGCCTAATAAGAATGTATTTTCAGTTTTTTTTTTTACACATCAATTGTTGTTTTAGTTATAAGATTGTGCTATTTCAAATTGTTAATTCTGTATTGTAATTTTCGATTTTGCCTCCTCAGGGCATGCGCATATCAACACACACTATACACAGTTACTGATCTACTAACAATCACCCAAAATACAATCAAAGCAAAAGTTCAATACAATATAAACAAAAGTCTTACCAAATTTTGATTTCTAATATCCAGATATATTGTGACGAAGGTCTAATTTATTTAAAGTTTATTTATTTAAAAACACACTATTTACAATTTATTTCAGATGTACTATTTAATTCATATAATACTAACTAACAATTCTAATTTATTTCTTACACTTTAACTTTTCATTACAACGTTCTATATTCAACTAAACTCGGCGCTGATACGTCGGCTATTTATATTAGTCCAACTCCGCTACTGGAAAATGCTAGAGGCTCGCGAAGATGACTAAACGGCACTCCCTGCCATTCCAGATGTTTCGAGTGAATCAGCGGCAGACATTCCGTCGTATTTTTGTACATTCGAGACGCGGTCCGGCTGTTTCCATACGTCAGCGTTGCTTCGATCACGAATTGGTTGCCATGTGAAGGCCGCGTGCGTACACAGGCACAGGGTCGGATTAGGGATATCATGGCAATATATTTTAATGTTTGTCCCAAATTTTCAGTGCCTCATGTTTGGCGCCACTTGATATGGAAACCTCCTTCCCGAATATAGAATTACGAATCAATGAATGAATCTTTATTGGGATAGGTTCAAGTATCTAAAATATGAAATGATAAAAAAAGGTAACAGTTTTTTTGTCTTTTCTGTGGTATTCTCCGACTTCTCTCCTTCTCTTTCTCTAAACTTTCTTCCAGTGCCTGTTCCTTGGGATGTCTCTCCTGCGACTCATAATACTGTAGCTGCTGCTCTTCTTCTATCTCTGCGAGTCTCTTATTTTATGAAATAAAATTAATTATTACCTTTCTTTTAAGTCTAATATCAACAAAACTCCAGACTTTTCCTATTTCGCTGACAATCGGTCAAATTTCCACAAAAAGAAATTTTCCCAACTACTACATTTTTTATACATCACCCCGATATTGTTACTAGTATAATTTTGAAAATCAAATTATGTAATCATTTTCCCTCACTATTTATCTATCTAATCTATTTAAAACAGCGAAAATTACACAACCTTGTCAGAAGACTAACACAATGTAAACAATCGAGTCACCTACTTATATGCCAAATGACAGTCACGGGAAAATTAATTTTAATCGAGAATAAGGTTCAGTTGTATTACTCGAGTATAGTAGAAGTTCACCTGCACCTTGTCTTACATTCTAATTTATTTTTATTTAAATAATCAGAATTTACAATTCTATTGTTAGAAATTAAACGAATTTACTTAAAAATTGTTTTTAAATGATTGATATACTATAACGTCCTGTATAGCCATTTCACAAAACACGTGTTAACATTGCTTTATAATGTTTTATTAAATATCTCGAAAAACTATACCAAACAATGTTTAAAATCTAATTAATTAAAAGACAAAATTGCGTTCGCCCGATCAAAATTCAAGTGTTTCCGTTCCCTCTCGGATGCTGCGATAAGTGCCATGTGGCACCGTCATTGTCTGCGGCGCGTCTCCTAATTCGTTGACTCCTAACACTATAGTTTTATTTGATGACCTGGAGACTAATTTTAAAGTCCCACAAATGTCTTGAGAAGGTTTCTCCAGTGAGAAGACCTCTTCCATCTTATTTTAGGTCTATTGGCTAGTTTCTCTTCAGTTTTCTGTTACTTTCTTCCAATAGTGATTGAAGTAGTGCATTTTGTTTTGTATGTTGCTTGAACTACCATTTCCTTGTTTAATGCCTGGTTAATCTTGAAATATACTCTTTCAAATAATGTGAGTGTATCAATTGCTCATCGCCTGGATAATCTTGAAACACACTTTTTCAAATAATGTAAGTGTATTACAAAAAAACTATATTTTCAGTTTGACTGGTGATCTTCTCGGCAAAGTGATGCTCATGTTATTGAAGAACGATGATTTCGATAAGGCCTGCAAAATTATGGACAAACTCGATAGAGATCATCAGACCGTGGCAGGCGTTCCGAAAATCGAGGTGCTCGAATTGTTTATTGATCATTGCATTGAAAGAAAAATGCCTACCAGAGCGATTGTAAGTATCATAAAGGTGTTATTTATTATCAAATCGTTTTTAAACCCGATATAAGAGTTTTATTTTAAATTGAACTCAATAAGTTTATATATTTTTTTAATTTACCGACTTTAGGCACCCCTCTGCTCACTTATAGGAATTGCGTTAACTCCTCCCCCCACCCCATTCGGGCTTCGGTTTCAAACCCTGGCTCCCTCAATTAGGATTGGGTTTCAAACCCTGGCTCCCCCAATCAGGCTTGTGTTCCAGCCTCTGGCTTCCCCCAATCAGACTTGAATGTTTGGAGCCTCTTTTATACCTCACATACAAATTGTAAATATTTTTATAACAACTATAAATATATAGCTTCTATCAAAATTGTTATACAGTTGCTATGAAAGTAGTTAATCAGCAAGTTGCATAACAACTGTAGCTAGCTACAGAATAGGGGTCATTGTATTGTTCACTGATCTGTATTATTTTACTGGATAGGATATAGGCTATATTTAACATACTAAAAAACCGTTCCACCAAGGAGACCGGAAGTGCAACAATGCTGGCCGATTTGGGCAAATTATGGTGGGTTCACAGAACTGAAATTTGGGATAATTTGACATACCTAACCTATAATTTGATTAGTTTTTCTTCTTATTCTTCTTCTATTCCTTTTTCGGGCGATGTCCTTCTGGAAAATTCACCCATGATTTGATTTTTTATGAAAGAAAATATAAAAATGGAAACGTGAAGCATATTGTGTCTTCAGGAATGAACGTTTATTGTTTATTTCATACTCTTTTTACTTTATTTTCCACAATAAAAACATCTCATCGTAGCTTGTTGACACAATTAAATGACAAATGGAAATAGAGGTTACGTTAAATAACATCCGGTCCGCCATATTATTTGCCCAATTCGGCCAATTTTTCGGAACGTTTTTCAGGGGGCTATATCCTATCCAGTAAAATAATACAGATCAGTGGTATTGTTAGACCTAAAATGGTTTAATTTGTTCCAACTTTCTATAAAATAACGTTTACGTACATTCGTTATTTCTAAAATAACGTAGATGGTTATTATACCGGATTACGATATTGGTGCTTGCCCGATTTTTCTATTATTATTAATCTCGCCTCGTAAAATATTTCAGAAATGAATCATTTTCTTCCGGAATGACTTAGCCAATGGAAAGTAAAACACGCTGGTTTAAATAACAAATACAAATTTTATTAACTGACTTGAAACACGAACTTTTGAACATTGTATTGGAAATATACAACTTTACTTTTAGATTTAATGTGAGAAGAATGATGATAAATGTTTATGCTTAAATGCCAACTTTAGGCTCTTACGAATATGCTGGTGAGGTTCCCGTTACAGTTCTATTTATAAACTTTGATATGACAGCTAAGCCAACGCTCGCATTTTCAACTTGATTGGCTAGATCTTCCAACCGTATAGTATAGTTGTAATACCTGCGTGAGAAGCATTGCTTCAATTTTTCATGTCTTCTGTGATTCACATCGTATTCGACTATATAAGTTGATGTTTTTAATTCGTGTTGTACGCTGACCTTGCAATTTACTATTACAAACTTTTGTTGCATTCACAAAGTTTAAATTCTTGTTATGCTACAGAGCCGGCTTCTGTTTCGTGTTTTATTGTTAACGAAATTGTACTTAAACAGTTATCTAGGGGTTCTTTTCATTAAAAAAAGGGTGTGTTTCGAGCAATTGTCAATATTTACTTATGTTTTTTTAGATTTGTATCGAATATTGCTCAGATAGTGGTTTCCCACAATGCGGTGTATTGGCGTCCAAATTAAATGAAAAACTAACCCTCGATGAAGATCACTTGAATAGATTGTCCAGAATAGTTGGAGACATGAAATTGAGCAGTAAAGTTGCAGAAGAAGTACATTAGAAAAGTTGCGTTATGATTAAGTATTTTTTGTAAATAAATGTAATTTTTTGTTCTTGTTTTATTTTATTACGTCAATTTTATCAAGACTTGTTTATTTTTTGGAAGTAGAAGAAGGCTGCAAGGGAAAATATCGAAAAATATTTACAAAGAAAAATGAAAGTCCCAAGTAGCACCGAACGGTTTATTCAGTACTTCAAAAATGCTTTAAAACTGCAATTAAAACCAATTAGTTTTAAAAGGAGCCTTAAGGTTGTAATAAATACGCCTTCAGCATAAAAGGGCCCACTCTGAAAGAGGTCAATAAAACCAAAAATAAAAACCACCATAAAACTATATTACCTTAAACTGATTTTAAAGCTGCTGTGAAGACCCTTTTAAAAACCACTTTAAATACATTTTAAACACGCGGTTTTGAAGTGAACTTAATAACGTTAGTTACATATGTATACTTTTAAAGACAATATATCTTATTGTTAACATATGAAAATGATTTTTTAAAACTATATACATAATTCTTTTAGCAAATACTATGAAGATAATATGGTGACGCTCTAACCATGAACTATAAAATAATAAAAAGTAAGGTAGTGATTTCGGAATGTTAGGGTAGAAATATATACTGCGCACTCTACTTTGTTGGTCGAGTTTATCTTCTACGTTTTCTTCTTTTACAGTTCTTACTTTACTGTATCCTCCAGAAGCCTGCGTAGCTGCCTCATACTCCAAAGTAGCGGACAAGACATCGACCAATGTTTTGGTGACGGGCTAAGCGAAGTGTTTTCTGCATCTCGTGGTCACGGAGTCCATCTAAAAAATGTTTGGATTGCTAAACATTCCATCATGTTTTCCGGAGCTGATGGGTAAGCAAATCGCACCAACCTGGCAATATCTACTTCATATTCTTGAAGAGTCTCGTCTCGTTTATGTTTGCGATTCTTTAACTATGACTGGTATAAATGCTCCACGTGTTCGTGGCCATATCGCATGTTCAATCTCTTTTTGAGTTGTTCAAAATCATTAGTCTCTTCCACAGGTATAGTCTGAAGAACATCTAAAGCGTCTCCTCGAAGGGCGATTGTCAGATTTGCGGCCTTTTCTCTCTTAGACCATTCGTTTGCCCTCGAACTGTTTAAGGTAGTTGGTCCATGACATTTCCGTCGAAGGTTGGGGCTTTAACACGAGCAGAGTTTACAGCTCCTTCCAATTTTAACTTCGACTCCACCTCATGGCACCTTATTTCACCGTCCTTGGCCGGTTCTGTATGTTCCAGTTCTATCTTCTTTTCCATCTGTTTTATTTTCTCCTCAACGGAAGTAATCTTATTTTCCACATCAGCAGAAATTTCACTTTTCAGAGAAGACATTTCAGAAGACACTTTTTCTTCTAAAGAAGAAATATACGAAAATTTATTTTCCATAGAAGACATTTTGTTTTCCAAGTCGGAGATCTCAGTTTTTAGTGAAGACATATCAGAAGAAATTTCATCTTTTAAAGAAGAGATATATCATAAGAAACTTTAGTTTCTAAAGAAGAAATGTTGGTTTTCATAGAAGACATTTTACTTTCCATATCGGAAGAAATTGAAGAAAGTATAGCAGATGCATCATCCGAAAATAGAAACATTTTCGGATCCTAACCTTCATTTTCTAGTGCTTTTTTAAGTCGTTCTGTCGGCTAATTGTCCATTATTATTTATTTATCGTTCCACTTTTAACACCAATGTGACGATAGTTTAATTTATTTAGAGTTTATTTATTTGAAAGACTGGACAATGGACAGTATCAATAGATGGCACGATGGCAGCAAGCTGCGTTGTGTGCCCAAGTCATGTTTTTGATAACTTTGTCGTCTTCTACCGAGCCATCGAACGGTTGTCGAAACTGAATAACGAACGGAATTTCTCTACTTACTAATAGATAGACAGACAGTCGATTCAGAATATTTGTTTTAAAAATGAGATAAACGCGTTTAATTATGCTTAACGAACATTCATTTACGATTTATCATCAGTTTAGAGAATATAAACAATATTAATTTAAATTTGGCAATCTTATAAATTAAGAAAATTTTGTGTATATAGAATTCTATACTCAATAATCGAGAAAGTGGTAGTGCTCGGGCCATGTTGATGACGTTCTGTACTGTTCTAACAGATGTCGCGACAGAATGGTCTCCAATGAAACTTCCATAAGGTTGATCTACTAGGATATCTTAATGGTTGAATCATGCATAATTTCTACACTCGTCATGGATGCGTAAACGGCACCTTATTCTACCTTTTCTACTTTTGTTTTATTCTTATTTTTAAAGTATCACCTAAAAACAGCCAGCGACACCTTTACGTCAATAGCGCAAACGCCATATAATGTTTTACTGGATTCAATATTATCATTAATATGACCTTGCATTCCGTTCACTAGAGGGCTAGTTTGGTTTAGGACAATGATTTATTAGCGAATATGGTAGGATTTTTTAGCTCTTTTACAAACTAGTCAGCTCCTATAGATTTGTTATAATATCGCGATATGTTCGTGTAAAATGAATTCGTCAATAGCTATATTTGAAGATTAGCGACGCGGTTCCATTAGACCATAAATAACCCATAATGGAAAAAAGTTATAACACGTTAAACGCCAAGGCGGTCCCTAAGGATTACTGGAGAAAAAGTGTATGACGCCACAGGAGTCCCTGCGGACCGCTGTGTATCGAGCTCACATTTAATGCTGTAAAGGCTAGTTGACCCTGATGTTATGTTGAGTATGGGGTGTTAATACACTGCGACCTAAAATATCTATTGTGCCCCCTTCTGTCGCCACTGCACTAAGGAAATGTCTCAATGCCTATAGCGACCCTTCCAATCCTATTTTCTCAAGGAAGTGTAGGATTTGAAGTGGCTTCAAGTTAGGTAAATCTCCCTCTTCTATTTGATATTATCCTAGATATAGTGCCCTTGGATTCTGGAGTGCTACACATTCAGTTAGGATGTGAATGGAGATTTCGTCCTCCTCCTCACAGAATCTGCACTCACTATCCTCTACTACTCCATGTAATGCAAACGCAGGCTAGTATTGTACTTTTGAGATATTAGCTCTCGTAGTAGCTAAACTAGTTCTGTTACTCACGGCTATAGCCCCATAAGTGATGATTGGGTCTCACTATTGCAGTATACATCCATCGCAGTATGTTTGGGTTACATCCCCATCGTTTATTACCTGCAATGTTTCTGCATACCATTAGGACTTTTGTGGCCTTATTTAGGCCTAGTGTTAGGCCTAGATATTTGACTTCATTTTTCTATTCTATATCTATTCCGTCTAATTTAACGGTTTTGAGATTAAGTTTTCTTTTCCTTGAAAAGGCTACTAGGTTGTTTTTGCAGGGTTTATACTAAGTCCCATTTCACGGCACCATCTTTTGGTATGTTCTAGTCCTCGTTGGACTATATCACACAGGATATTACTAAACTTGCCACTAGCAAAATATGACTATGTCGTCGGAATAATCTTGACAGGGTATGCCGAGATCAGTCAATCTGCATAGAAGTTCGTCTACGATTAGGCTCCTCTACATTAGTGGGGATAGAACTCCTCCTTGTGGACATCCTCTGGTTGTGCAGATGGAGATGGTGTCTTGTCCTATCTGTGTCTCTGCAGTTTTCGTAGATAACAGCTGAGCCATCCATCTGGATGTGATGTTATCTACTCCTCTGTATGCAAGTGCGCTTTTTACAGATTCGTGTGGCGTGTTGTCAAAAGCTCCTTCTATGTCTAGGAAGGCACACACGACCATTTCTTTGTTTGTCAGTTCATCCTGAATTACGTCAGTCAACTGTATCAGGGCAGTTTCTGTAGATCTTCCTGCTCGGTACGCGTGTTGGCTGTGATGGACTGGCACCCTCTCCAGGACTTCTGTTCTGATATAATTATCAACAGCCTTCTCCATTGTTTTTAATACAACGGATGTGAGGCTGATTGGTAGGAAATATTTAGGAATAAAGGTGACTCTGGCCCTTCATGCTTCTGGTATATATCCCAGCTCCAGACTGCTCCGGGATAGCCGGATTATATGTGGTAGTAATTCCTCCTGTGCCTGCTGAAGCAGGGCAGGAAATATTCCATCCACACCTGGAGACTTAAACGGTTCAAAATTGTTTACGGTCCACTTTAACCGATTTCTGCTGCATATGTGTTTGGCCACTACAGCGGCCTCTCTTGGGGGCCTGCTTGCCTTAGTTGTGTCCCTTATTAGAAAAGGTGTGCTTCCAGGAAAGTGAGTTTCGAGTAAGAGGCGAGCTCTTTCCTCCTCATTCTCCGTGAAGCTTCCATTTGGTTTCTTTAATGCCATAACTGTATCAACTCTCCCTTTCGCCAGGGCCCTGTGTAGTCTCGCTGTCACAGGTGTAGAGTTAATATCCTCGTAGTTGACCCTGATACAATCCGTTTACGTTACAGTTGTACCGCTGTGATGCCTTCACTTTGTGATAAATATAAAAATTAATTCTCTGTGTATATATTTTTAAAAACTACTGTTTATTTATTTTTGCTTTACAAAACAAAAAATAATATTGAGTTCATATAAATGAACAAAAGTGCTAATTGTTTGTTAAAAAATATTAAAATAATTGCCAAAATATTTTTGCAGGACCGATTCGAGGAATTTCTAAAAACATTCGAAACAAAAATGGGGATTACCCACTCAAATGTCACAGTATTTAGTAACTTTTTTCACATTGTTTTTATTCAATATGTCTTTAGTGTTCTGCCATAATGGCCATTACAATAACGTTTAACGTTCATTTCGACCATTGAAAATCGACTGACGCAACAAGCCATGCGCTGATCTATTAATCAACCTCAAAACAAATGTAAACAGGACCGTCATTGGGACCACTGTGTGGCCCGTGCAGCAAAGTTATCTTACAGCGCCACGCGGCGTAAAAAAATAGAATAAAATATATAAATATAAATCTTGTTAAAAGAACCAGAAGTGGTTGACAACACGTAGCTTAGATTAGTAAAAAAAGATTTGCATTAGGGATGCGCAAATTTTTTA